ATTTTGTGGCCCTTTACCAATTTCTTCCTAACCCACCCCCCCATCCCCCCACACACTCTTTCCCTCCTCTGGCAAACTCACTGATCTTCTAAGACAAGTTGACACACTTGTGCTGTAAAAGACCAAATAGTAAATATTTGGGGCTTTGGAGTCATACCGTCTGAATCTAATTACTCAACTTTGCCCTTGTATCAGGAAAGCAGCCATAGACATTTTGTACACGAATGCACATGGCTGTGGTCCAATAAAGTTTTATTTACAAAAACAGGTGGGAAGCAAGATTTGGCTGATGGGCTGTAGTTTGCCAACCACTGTTCTCAGGGCTCCTTGGTATCAAAGAATATGAAGTTACCAGACCTTACTCTTCTCTTTGCACAATGGTCTATATAGTACAAATATTTACTTAGCACCTACTATGTGCCAGGTTCTGTTCTATTATCTGGGAATAAGTGCTGAACTAGCCACACAAAAAATCCCTATTCTTGTGGGAAGACAGATAGAAAGCAAGATAAAAAAGCAAACTATATAATGTACTAGTGTTGATACAACTTGTGAAAAAAAAGCAGAGGAGTACATGTGCAAGGAGGCTGGAAGTTTGCAACTTTAAATAGAAGGGCCAGGGACATTTGAGCAAAACTTTGAAAGAAATGAAGGGGAAAACCTTGTGAATATTTGGGGTAGAATCATTAAAGACAAAGCAGGAACAGCAGGNAAGGGGAAAACCTTGTGAATATTTGGGGTAGAATCATTAAAGACAAAGCAGGAACAGCAGGTATAAGGGCCCTGCAGCTGGAATACATGTGGAACATGCAAGGATCAGAGAGGGGGCCAGTGTGGCCAGAGTAGAATGACAGGAGGGTCCTGGGATATGACCCTCTTGGAAGAGTGACTCATTCAAAGACTAGACCAAAGTGATCAGCAAAGACTTTCCTTTTGCTCATAAAGCTGAAGAATTATTAGGGAAGTCTACGTAAGTCTGTTTGAAGTTTAAAAAAAATTACATTATTGACAGTTTCTAAAATCTATATGATTAGAAAGGGTATAAGAAGAAAACTCACTTTAATTATATACCTAGCCTATTGTCAAGTATTAAGAGGCATGTACATGAGTAACCTTATTAATTGTCACAACAACCCTATGAGTTCCAATTTATTATTCTTTAACTGCCCTTGAAGATAACAGAGGTCAGGGAGGTTAAACAATTGCCCTGGATCACACTAATCCAGGATTAGTTGATCCTAAAGTACATGCCCCTTTCACAGTGAATGTCTTTACACTGGGTGTGTGAGGTATGGCTGAAGACCATGAGAACACATTTTTATAAACCTGCCAGAACAACACATTCAAATGAATGATGCCCACTCCTGAGTGGCACTCGGCAGTGGTGGGGAGTTGGGACTTAAATGGATTATCATCATTGTTAACAAACACTTATTGAGTGCACGTGCACACACACACACACACATGCATGCATGCACACACACACACACACACACATATAGTGTCCTAGGCAACACAGGTAAAAACAGTTCTTGAGACATAGCTTGGGACTATAACTTTCAATCCTGATGATACTGGTGCTATCAAGAACTAACATTTGGGGGCCGGCCCGGTGGTGCACTGCTATAGTGCGCCGCTTGGGAAGCGCGGCAGCCCTCCCGAGGGTTCGGATCCCACATACAGACTGGTTCCCGCTCACTGGCTGAGCGAGGCG